CGTGTTTTTCGTTTTTAGAGACTCTGTGTCTCGATAAAATTTGGCAGCCACGTTATACTCTGGAATATTTATGGAACGAAAAGTGCACGGAAAATCACGAAATGCAAAGATTGAGAGGCGCGAGGGAAGATGGAACAGCGTCTAATTGGTACTTTCGCAGAAGGCGGTGACTCGGAGAGCGGGCACAAGAGCGGTAACAAGGCGAAGAGAGTGCGAACCACGTTCACGGAGGAACAACTCTCCGTTCTCCAAGCGAATTTCCAACTGGACAGCAATCCCGATGGCCAAGACCTCGAGAGGATAGCGCATGTGACCGGACTCAGCAAAAGAGTTACGCAGGTTTGGTTCCAGAATTCTAGGGCAAGGCAGAAGAAGCATCTGCACACGGGCAAAATGAAAGGGCAACATGGTACTTCTTGCGTTTGTCTTTCTTTCGCCGATATCTGTCCGGTTTAGAGCTCTCTAGCCACACGAAATTTCGTGCTCTCCTCCTTTCCCTTCCTCCATTTTCTTCTTCTTCTTCTTTTTTTTTTTTCTTTTTTCTTTCTAGCATTCATTTCGATCTTTTGGGGAACAAACGTTCGAAATTTCGAGAGCAACAGAGGCATATTGCATCGAATCGGAAGTTTCTAAAAATCTTCGTCTCTTTAAACAAATTTTTAATTTAGCCTGTTGTTCCGAACAATTCCAGAACAACTTTAGCATTTCGTTCTGTTATTTTAGTCAGTGCATAAATATATCTTTTAGAAAATGGAAAAAAAAAAAGAAAGAAACAGGCTCGGAAGTTCTGCTTTTTAATGTTCAATATCTTTACACGTGATCGTACCGTGGATCACCATATTCAGAATACCAAAAGATCATCGTAGTCTAAAGTGAAAGAAACGTCGTTTGCTGTTGCAGTTCATCAATCACCACCGAATTCTACCGCGTCCACCGGCGATTTCAGTCGACACATCAATTTACATCTGACCTATTCGTTTCAACATCAACAGCAACATCATCATGGGCAACAACCGCCGCAGCTAAGTCCGGCTACGTGCAAAAGTCCAACGCCATCCCTTTATCATAATCACGGTGAGGGTAATTTCAGTAATTCCGGCTGCATGTTTAGAAAATCTGTCGCATGAATCGTCGGTTCTCTTTCAGTAATAGCAAACTCTACAGAGTATTTTTCAATATTCTTTTAAATCGAGCTATTAAGAAGAGAATTTCTTTTATAAAAGAATTTTATAAAACAATAGAAAGTTTTTCTTTTTCAATATTCTTTTTAAATCAAGCTACTAAGAAGAGAATTTTATAATAGAATTTTATAAAAGAATAGAAAGTTTTCTTTTTTTCAATATTAGAATTTTATAAAAGAATTTTATAAAAGAATTTTTTTTTTCTTTTGGAATGCTTTAAAGATGAAGGAATTGGTTAACCCTTTGCTGTTCAAATTATTAGCGAAATTTATCAAGCTTCTAAGATTCTCACGTTCGACGTTTGATATTTGAAATCTGAAAATAACAAATTTCAGTGATTACTTAAATTTTAACAACAATTTCCAATTATTCCAATTTGTTTTTAATATTCAAAATCCAGCAGTAAATAATTCGAGCGATGCGGGATTTCAAATTTCAAAGTAAACTTTCTTCATTCACGGTATTGCCAATCGAACGACAAAACGCAACGGGTTAATGCCATTTTCCCAATTCACTATGGAATAATCCCTGAGATTCGAAACTTAACGCAAGTGATTGAAATTTTTGCCACATGCCAATGGACGATACAAAGTTTTGCTTTGAAAAGGTCTACTCTCTATCGCAACACCGTCCACTCTGTCTTCAGGCTCGGAACAATCGATGGACGAACTCTCGCAAGACTCGATGATGTTGTCGATGCCGAACGAGGTTTAATCGCCGCTGGATTTAGCCGTTTACATTGTAAATAATTCTTTATTTAATCTTAAGATCTTTACTTTCTCTTTCTTTCCACGCGTCGTTACTCTCGTTCCTTTCCGACATTTTACTCGCGTTT